ATTATATTTTAATATGTGTCTAAAGATACTGGACAAAAATTCTAAATTAAGTTATTGCAAGACAAAACTAGTATGTACTAATAACTAAAATATTTGAAATTAAAAAATTTACATACTTTTAATAAGTTAACTAACAAAAAAATATTATTAAAAATACTTAAATAATCCATAAATAGTTCTAACATTTTACATGTTAAATGTTAAAATGTTTTAAGTTTTATTTTTTTCTTAAATAATTAAATAAATGAGGTAGTTCAATTATTAAGAATATGAAATTTGAAATTAAAAATTTTATATTTAAAATTTGAGTTGATGAGAGGAATTTGAGAAAATTGAGAGAATTATTTTTTTTATAATTTATTATTAAATATAAAAAAATAATTAAATAATTAAATAATTATGAAATTTTTATTTTTATTTTTAGCCTTGAGGGGTGTACCAAAAAAATATATATATTTTTTAATGCAGTGGTTACATATAATACGAAAAACGGCACAGCTAGAAAATTGCCACGTCTTGAAGTATGTTTAGGAAAATGATTTTAAAATTTTTATTTTATTATTTTTAATATAATTTTACATATTATTTAAATAATTAATTTTTTATTTATTTAAAAATTATAATATTAAATATTAAGTGCATTATATATTCAATAATAAATAAAAATTATATAAAAAATTATCTTTATATTACTATAATATATCTATGCATCCTTAGCATTATCGGTTACACGTAAGTCATGCCAACTCACATCGTTGTCTTATTTTTAAACAAAATCGTATATTAAAACTCTGAACTAATCTAAATTTGTTACTCAGCCTTTATGCATCCCTCTCATTACTGGTTACACTTCAGCCATGCCAACTCCCATAGTTTATTTTTGATAAAACCATATGCTAAGCATCTAAAACTAACCCTAGATTTGTTATTGAGTTTTCAAATTTTAGTTAATGCATATAAACCCTTAGACTCTATAATCTAAGTAATTTAATCTTTAATATGTTAACTACCATAAAAATAAGTATTAAATTACCATAAGAATAAGGGATAAATTACTTAAATCATGGAGTTTAATGATTTATATACATCAATTAAAATTTAGGAGTTTAAGAACAAATTTAAGATTAGTTTTAAAGGCTTAACATATAGTTTTGTCTTATTTCTATCCTCCAGTGATGTTATACATGGGTTTAGGCCCATTTGATTATCTTTTTATGTTCCAAGTTCCAACGGTTTTCTAATTCTTCTCTTTTTTTAGGCCCATTTCATTAGGATTGAACAGTTTTATTTTATCCCATGATAAATTGGACCCAACTCTGGGCTTATTGTATGCTTTTTCTAGATCTATAAATTGGGTCCCCAGGCCTGTTCCATCCTCCATGTATTACTTCCTTTTTCATGGATAATTGCATTACCTTTTTTAATGATGAGCTGGAAAAGCTAAGAGATAAAATCAACGTATTATCAGTTGAATTATGAAATAATATAAGGAATTAATTTCTCTTTTGATATTTGATTGCATGATCAGCAACGGCCCTTTCTCATCCTTATCTACTTCACTTCCATATCAACCTATGACTTAAATTTAAAATTTTTTATCCTATTTAAAGTAAATTATTACTTTTAAACCAATTAGACAAGGAATACTTCCTTTATTTATTTTAAATAATTTTAATTTGATTTATTAATTTTTTAAATATGAATTTTCAATTAAAATTTAACATATTATATAAATAATAATTAAAAAATTTTTATCATATAAAAATATTCAACTAGAGTTATAAAGAAAAAATTGTTTAATTATTGTTTATATAAATTATTAAAGTTTATCTAAAACTCATGTCTAAAATATTAAAAGTCAAATTAAAATTATTAAAAATGAACATGAGAATAATATTTAAACACACTATTTTTTTTTGAAAAAATTTTTAAAACAGATAAAATGCCTTGTTTTTGGTATTAAAAATAATTGTTTTCAACAATATTATAATTATAATATCATATAAAATTATAAATTTATAATTATAACAAATTATTAAATCAGTAAATATATATAATATTATAAATGAATCTTAAACAAAAATTAATTAAATAATAATATATCATAATTATAAAATTATAATACCATAAAAGTATATCATTTTCAAAAATTTTTCGGATCCAATTATTCCCAGGGCCCCTAAGTCAAGAAGGAGAAAAACTCCATTTTGATTCCGGAGATAATGTACATAAATGCATGGTCCCCTGCTCTAATGCTTTCATATGCATCATTATTTGAGAAGGATGTGTCTGTTTCTGTTTGGCCAAAATGGTACTCAATTTTCCACTTTCCGTCCAATCGATTTATATATTTTGAATTATAAAAAAATAATTATTAATTATTAAATAATAATTATTAATTATCAATTGTATCAAAATAGCTCATCTAACCACTCCATAAAATGGCTCATGGTGGTACTAGAGCCATGATTCTTTTTGCCTTTTTTTTTACCCCTAGAAATGAATTCCTTATTTTGTAACATAAACTAAACTAGGCTTTAAAATAAAAATAATTAGTTGAAAAAAAACCTTAATATTAAAAGGCATAATCCTTATTAAATAATATTGTTTAATATAGGACAGTTTAAATTATATATTACTTTTTTATTTTGAAAAATATGTTATTTATGGATGAGATTAATTTAATTTAATTTTTTAATATTTATAATTAAAATGTCTTTAAATCAATTTTTATGTATTTTGAAATTAACTTTAAAAAAATGATGAAAAAGAATATATCAGCTAAAAAAATATATCCCTGCTGTCTTATCATTGCAGCCAAACTTCAAAGATTCCTCTAATTATATATGGAATTGGTAAAGGATGGGCTAATTGTTGCATCTTATTTATTAGGAAAATTATTGATATATCATCTAGTTCAACACAGTTAATAATATCTTCTGATTCAGTTATTAAAATTTACTTTTAAAAATTTTCTCACATTGAATTTAAATTTAAATTTAAATTTAAAAATATTAATTTTTTAGTGATTAAACCAGCGAATGTTGTTAGGTGTATTGAATCGAAATGTGTATCAATTATTATCTTATTTATTATTGCATCCTTATTTGACTACCTTAGCTTTATTATTTCATTTTCTTTTCCTTTCATTTTCTTTTCCTTTCATTTCTAAGTAGTATAAAACAAATGAGAACGTCCTTTTAGTGTAGTAACTACCTTGATCTTATAAATAATTTTTCATATTAAACTTGAAGCTATAAGATTTGAGTTCTATTTCCTAATATTCAAAAAAAAATTATAAAACAAATAATAATTAAATTTTTTTTTTAAAAGTAAAATTTAAGACATCATTGTATTTTAAATGTCATTAAAATTTTTTATAAAATTATATAAATACCTTTAATGAATATTTTTTGTGTGTAAAAATTTATTTAAAATATTTTAATTTTTTTCATCATCATTCTTAATATTTTAATAATTAAATATCTAAATTTTCCTCAATCCTTCAAAAAAATAAATGAAAACTCTCACGTGGCCTGCCCCTTCCCCTTGCTCCTCAACTGTTCTTTTCCCCTCTCCTTCCCAAATGGATTCTTAATGAAGATCACCCTCCTATTTTTTGTTTTTGTTTTTGTTTTTTTTCATTTTCCTTTTTCTTTTCAAAGATGATCAATATTTTAACACTCTAAAAGAAAAAAATCTCTTCATTTTAAAAATAGGTTCCATAATTTTAAGGTAGTAATATAAGTATAATTTTTTTTTATATAATTTTTATATATCATTAAATAAATAAATATATTTAATATTATAGATTTTAAATAAATAATAAAATTAATCATTTAAATAATATATAAAATTATATAAAAAATAATATACAAAATTATTCTTAAATCATTTATCTATTTTTAATCAAAAGAAACTTTTCTTAAATTCTTCCTTCTTCCTCCCCTGGCCTCGCCACTTCAAAAGTTGATTCAAGATCTTGATTTGAATTTCTTTACCTTTTTTGCCTTAATTGCCACGTGATGAATTCCAATGCAAACATCATGATTTCATATGACCAAAAAATTTCATTCTAAAAATAGGTTCCACTTTTCTAATTGAAGAACAAAATTTAAATTCTTCCTTCTCTCTCCCCATGTCATCTCGGCTTGAAAGGTAAGGGTGGGTCGAAAATTTTATAACTTAGAAAAATAAATTTAAAAATTGATAGGTAAGATTTGATTAAATTTTGAATTTGTTGATTAAAAATTAAATTGAATTAATTTTAAATGATTTAAAATTTGATTATTAAGTTTAAAAATTGAAAAACCAATTAATAAGATGAGTATAATTAAAAAATTCAAAACAAAAACCTTTTATATAAAATTTTTAAGGGTTAAAAATTTTTTTTTTTATCTTGATTGTAAGATGAGAAACAACAATCTCTCATTCTTTATTCCCCCCATTTGTATGTTATACGACTCGAATTTAGGATCTCTGATTTCTTGCAGAAATAGATAACCACTAAATTATTTATGTAGTTGGTAAATTTTTAAAGATTTCTTAAACAAATTTTCACTAAATTATTTGTTTATTTAGATAATTTTTAATTTTTTAGTAATTAAATTAATAAAATAATGATTAATGAATTCAAAAAATTACTCAAAATATATAAATAATTTTTAATTAAAATCAAAATCGATCAAAGTAGTTATTTTAAAAAATATAACTAAAATTGATAAAACTTAGTCTTTACAATTTGATTAATAATTATTAAAACTTAAAACTTTAATTAACTAATAATTTAATTTCAATTCACCCACCCCTATTGAAAAGAACTATAGATTCAAGATTTGATTTGAATTTCTTTACCTATTTTGCCTTAATTTCCACATGTTGAATTCCAATGCAAACATTGTGATTTCATGACTAAAAATCGGAATTGAACACTTTTATTTTATCCCGTGACAAATTGGACCCGACTCTGGGCTAACATTTGCTTTTTTTTTTTCTCTAGCTATAAAATATAAATTGGGTCCCTAGGCCCCTTTTATAGTCTTTACGTTTGTTTATCCTTTATTCACTACCCTCACATACATTACATATACAAAGACTACTTATTTTAATTTTTTAAAATAGTTATTAATCAACACATGTGCCTTGTGATTATACTTGACAAAAATTGACCTAACCCGTCAATTCTATCCTAACTCGATCTATAAAAACGAATTAAGATTTATACATCACAATCAGTAACCCGTAGACAACCCGTAAACAACTCGTATTATTAATCCGTACGAGTTACGAATTGGGTTAAGTTCAACCCGCGGATTAACGGATTGATTCATTTGTTTTATTTATTATTATTATTTTTAAGTATTATACTTATTATTCTTAATTAATTTTTTTATTAGTAACTCTTTCCACTAATTCGTATTCCCTAATTAAATTTAAATATATATAATTTTATTTGTATATAATAAAATTAATAAAAAAAATAAAAAATAAAAATAAGATCAACCAACGAATTAATCAATAACTCATTAAAATCAAATTAAAATTAAATTTTTTCAACTTATAAATCATTCATAACTCAACTTGTATAACTCATCATCTGAGTTAATCAAACTCGAATCTAACTCAACCCACCGTTTCTGAAGTCTACTCGTGATCTTAGAACTACAAGTGGACATGGAAAAAAAAAAATAGACGTTGCCTTCGTCCACGATGGAGTAGACCCCCAGTCTATTCTAAACAATCGACGCGACCCCAGAGGGTTATATACCTATTTATAAATTTATAAATTTTAGAATTGGGATTTGAATTTTTTGTCTCAAAAATTTTAATCTATTTATAAAAACAGTTGTTAGTTAAAATAAAATTAAAATTTAAAATAAATAATTTAACATAAATTACATATTTTTTTAAATATTAAAAAATAAATTTTATATTATTTAATAATTATTTTTTATTTTTTTAATTTATAATATTATATATTAATTAATTTAATAATATGATATAATTTATGTTATTATTCTTAAATTTTTATCTTTATTATCATTACTCTATTAATTATTGATTCTAATTAAATATATTGAACATTTTAAATTATAAATAATAATTATTAGTTATTAATTATTAATCATTAAATTTAATTGTATTAAAAAAATTAATCTAAACAACTCATAAAACTTTTAAAACGTTTAAACAGATAAAATGGCTTGTTTTTGGTACTAGAAATAAAATTTTTGGATGCATATATGCTTTATTTTGCCCGCCGGGCCCTCTAGAAACAATTAAACGCGTGGACCCAGCTCTGATTGATGCGTCCACATCAGATGCATGGATCATTATTAAAAAGGTGATGTGTTCGTTTATACGCAGCGAAAAATTATTATGAGGATAATTATTTTATTTTATTTTATTTTTTAAATAATTTAATATATTATTAAAATAATTAATTTGTTAATTTATATAAAATTTATGATATTTAATATATTTATTTATTTAATAATATATAAAAATTATATAAAAAAAATAAAACAAAAAAATTATTTATATAACACTACACTTTATCTGCAGTGATTGAGCCACTGGGAGACCGGCGCGGCATGGCGGCCCCCTGGTCTTTTGAAATCTTATATTTTACAAAAGTGTAAATAGGACTTTAAATTAAAAAAATAAAATATTTATTTGATGAATTATTAAAATATATTTAATAATTTTTTTAATTTCATTTAAATATTTTTAATGGTTAATATTGTATTTTTATAAAATTTTTAAAAATTTTTTTGTATTCAATGTTTCATTTTTTATTTTTTAATTATATTTAACGTAAAAACAAAATTTTCTTATTTCTTTAGAAATTATTTTAAATATATGTATGTATTAAGTTATAAGTAAATGATAATTTTTTTTTTCAATACATAAAATTACTACCTACTCATCATAAGTAAATAACATTTTTTTTAAAAAATATTTTTAATTATTTAACATCACATTCATAATACTAATGGGTTATTGATAATCTATACCATGCGGGTTGTTTTGTCCCCAAACTAAAAGGTATACCATAAAAATAACTACAATTTAGTATATTAATTTTTAAGAACATCTTAATTTTATTAGTTGATATATATTAATATTTTGTGATAATGATTTTTTAAATTAAATTTTAAAATTTAGTAATGACATAAATTTTTAAAAAATTTTCTTTATTTAAAATATATGATTTCAATTTAATTTTTATAAATATAAATCTTAATAAAATTAATTTTTTTACTACATTTATAAGTTAAATATAAAATTTAATTATCTAATTTTCTTCTATTATAGTATAACAGTTGACCCTCATAGATAAAATCATGATCCCACCACTATTTATCTGTCCGGCGAAAATGGCGCTCAACTTTCCACTTTCCACTTTCAGTCTAAAATGGCTAATATATTGGTAGCACTTGAGCCCTGATTCTCTTTATTAATTTTTTAAACAATAATTATACTAACAATTTTAGTATTTAAAATGGATTTTCAGATTCAGTTATTTTTTTTAAAACTTTAAATATTTGAATGTAATTAATTAAGAATTAGATTCTCGACCAAAAGACTTTAAAAAAATTCATAAATTTTCAAATATTAAAAAAAAATTTAATATTTGTTATTAAAAAATTATTAATCTTGGAATCCGAATGTCATATCTCCACTGTTTTTTTTCTTTGGATTCTCGTTCGGTATTCAAGGTTTCGTCCTGATTAATTCAGATCTGATCCGCGTCGCGCACTTAAAAATGGTGGATGAGTCTTCTAACTGAAGCTGTTGCGTACACAAGATCTTAAACTTAAAATTTTATTTAAACTAAAACAAATCGCCTACCACTTTATTCAACTTCTCGTTAGTGTCATATCTCCACGGTGCCACCATTTTGCTTCTCAAAAAGCAGCATGGGCACGAGGGCCATATGGCTGAATGGCGTTATCTTATTAAGTGCAGCCAATTTTCAGAGATTTTGTCAGACTATGGAACGTGGTAAGTGATCACTACAATTGTCCAAACCCCAACTTCACAAGTAATAAAAGCAGCTCATGGTACAAACCTAGTTTTATAGGTCGGTTGATATCTGTATGTATTACCTAATTTTATGGGTTGAATTCAATCCTTCATCTTTTTCAAAAGTTACTTCCGATAAAAAAAAAAAAAAAACAGCTCATGGTGATTAAAACAAAATTATCTCCAGATATTTTGTTTAAGAAAATATGTAATTAAAGAAAAATTATGCTGCCAATTAAGTTAATGTCTTGATATCTGCAACCTGAAGCTTTTAGGTCCAATTTGTCTTCTGAAATAAAAACAACTTTCATTTTCAGTGGAGATGGCTTTTAGGTTTTTGTTTAATTAGTATTTTTTTTATGGACTTTTTATATGTATACATTAAGAAAAGCTAAGCAGCTTTAAGGAAACGTAACTCTTTTTTTTTTCTGGCCAATTTTTGCTGTCAATATTCAAAATAGTGCTTTTGTATCCCTTTTTATTTTTGTTGCAAATTTTGCTTTCAAAATTCAAAATGGTGCTTCTGCATTTTTTTTTTTTTGCCAAATTTTTGCTCCCAATATTCAAAATGGTGCTTTTATATCTATTTTTTTAATATCATCTCTCACACGTACAGAACAGATTTTTTTGAATTACTCAATAATTGATCGTATTGTACTAATTCAGATCCTCCAGGCATATATATAATCCTAGTTGCCCCTTATCCTCAGCCTTATTTAAAATAACACAAGGTATGAGAGATGAGACTTGAATGAAAAACTCTTTATTTTGTAATTAATGATATATAATATGTACAATATATTTTTCTTTCATCAAAATGAAAATACAAAAGCAACTTAATTACATGACATTATTAATCACTTATCCTGACCATCCAATCAAATAATTCAGTTATTAATTATTATAGTACCTGTAAATGACAAATCAACATCTCCTTATCAACCGATTTCCCTCATGCGGCCCACTGGTTGGGCCGCACTGCTTTTCATGCCGCGCTCTTCATGAAAAGCAGCGCTCTTCAATGAAGAGCAGGTGGAGATCACCCATTGTCTGGGTTTGGGCCCTCATGTTTGCTAAGAAATACTAACACAATTAGACTAATCAAGTTTTTATTGTAAAAAAAAAAAAAAAACATCTCCTTATCAATCATGCAGTGAGATTTAATAATTCAGAATAAAGCAGGACCATGGAATCAAGTGTTACTCTGGGATTGATGAAACGATCATGATCTGTATCATGACGATCAAGTAGTTGTGGCTTTGGGAGTGATTGACTTGAACGTCACTATTGAACCGAACGTCGACGTTCTGGCCTCGATACGAAACGTGTCGTACCTGAGGAAGAACTCCACCAACATCACCCTACAGAGCAGCACCACCAGATCCTTCCCCGGACACTGCTTGTTCTCCGCCGTTGGATTCTCCGTTTGTCTCCCATTCGACCAGTAGACGTACTTCAGCAGCCTCTCTCCTTCCCCGACAAACCTATTAGCAACGAACTGCTCAGGTTTTTCAAAAATCTTAGGATCTTTTGTGGCGAACGGCTGATATCCAAAGATCATCTCGCCTTTCTTGATCTCAAATGCCGCATCATGGCTCTGGATCACTATGTCCTCTTTGGCCCTACCATACTGGAACGGTACTGGTGGTTCAATTCTCAATGCTTCATAAACCACTGATTTTGTCAAGGACATTTTTTCCAAGGAGGATATAGTTACCCCACCCTCAGCTTTAACAACGGTCCTGATTTCATTAGCCAACTGCCGGTGTAATTTTTCTCCTGCTAACCCTACCCACTTGATCAGCATCGGGAAAGTAGCTTTCATTCCACCATATGCATTAAACCCAGCTAGAAAAACCAGGTTATGGCATGCTTCATCTCTTTTTATCCCTAAATTCTCAGCTTCATCAAGAATTGAGCTTGCGGATTTGTAAAATGTGTCATAGAGTTTGTAGTAATCAGATTTAACTAAAAAGAAGGGGAGCAGAAATGTATGGAGCAAAAGATCTTCCAGAAGGTTTAGAAACTTTGGGAGTATTCCTAGGGTTCCTAGTGGGGCAAGTTGACATAACAACCATTTGTCAAAAAGATTTGCTCCGTTGGATCCTACCTTGGTTTCATTAGGATTTTTATCACAGAAGAGGCGGAAAACGTAGTTGAAAGACATTTTGTCAGAAAGGGAATTGAAGGATGAATGTTTTTTTGTTGTTATTTGAGATTCAAGCTCAAAAAAGAGATCATACAAGCATTGCTGGAAGAGTGGGATGAAGTTGTCATGGCGGGCAGCAATTATGGACATAAAGTAGGATTTGAGGGAGGTGTGTTTAGGTTCAGAAGGGTCGAGGTAGGCACACACACGGTAGCCACCAGTGAAGGACCAAGAAGGGTGGTAAGTGCCATCTAGGACATTGAGTTTTTCGACTTTTGACATGTCAAAGAGGATGGGGAAGGAGACAGCGTCGAGGAGGCAGACAACTTTTGAGTCAGGAGAAATGAAGGGACCGGGAGGCATGTTGGTTCTGAAGACTGTGGAATGGTATTTCCGGCGCCGGTTCTCAAAGAACTCGTCCTTGCCTTCATTGTAGAAGTAGTCCCAGCGGTCTTTGATTGCTCCGATGAAGGGGAGGCCATACTGGCCGGGGATTGGTTTCTTAGGGAGGTTTGAGAGCTCGGACGAAAAGGAAGACATAGAAGACATTATTGAATCTTTGATGTGCTGGTGGCTTGGTGCCCCATAGCAGGAAATGGTCATGGTTAATATAGAATGGGAAAAGGTATAAAACTTTTACACTATTTCTCAATTAAATTCCATGTGATTCACATTTTTAATATATAAATTACTTTTCCAAATTGACTAGACAGAATGAATCTTAATTATCCTAGGTGTGTAATCGTGTGTCTTTTTATGTAACTTTGAGTTGGTGAAAAATAATTTTATGGGGTGCAAGTGGAGATTAGCTGAGATGCGGATTTGTGTCTTGTCACGCGAAAATTATTGCAAATGACTGCCAACAACCAATGCTAATCGCTTTTTAATGAAAATATGAGGTTTTAATCTAAATGATAAAATGACATATTACATGAATCATCATAATATGAGAGATTATCTCTCATTTTAAGAATTTTACTAATGACTTAAATTTTGTTTGAAAATAATTTTGATATTTTAACTCTTGGTTTTTATATATCTTTATTAT